CCATGGACGGCGCCGCTTCACTCCCACGCCCACTCGCAGTATGCCAACTCTCTCCTTGTGCCCGCATGTCTCTCTGTGTCTCCCAGCAACCCAGCAGTGCTGTCAGCGGGGGTGGGCAGTGCCTTTGATGCCGTGGACGAGGTCAAGGACAGCCTGTGGCGCCGCGCTGCCTCTGCGGGCGCCAAGTCCTTCCTCGAGCGCCGCTCCTTTGGCCTGGCAGATGACATGTGAGTGCGGTGCAGAGGGGGTGGGGAGGGGTGTACAGCGGTTGTTGGGGAGTATGGCGGGTGTGAGGGGTGCTGGCGTGGTGATGCCCTTTCGCGGCCTCTGCCGGCACCAACTCCTTTTTGGAGTGCCGCCCTTTTGGCCTTGCGGACGACGTGCGAGTGCGGTGAGGTGGGGTATGTGGGAGTTGGTGATGGATGTGAGGTGGTGTGTGGGGTTTGCTGTCCCGTTGCTTCTCTGTGTGTCTTGGCTTGGCTGGTCATCCCCTTCCCCCTTCCTGCCCTCTCCTCCACCCCCTCCACCCCCCACTCCACCCCTCTCCACCCCTCGCCAGCTATGCATCAGGACTGCTTGGCTTTCGTGGCTTTCATGGCTTACATGGCTTTCATGCCTCTCTATGCGTATTCACCTGACCAGATGACTCCTTCCCACCATTCCCCACCCCTCTCCACCCCTCGCCAGCTATGCAGCAGGGCTGCTAGTGGCGTACATGGCGTTCGTGCCTCTGTGTGCTCCGGGGGCCATTGACGGGCCATCACTGCAGGTGAGAGGATCGGCCATTGCTTCCAGATGAAAAAAGAACAGACGTCATACAAGCCATGCCTACCAAATACACTCGTATTTCTCCAAATACACTTTGCTGCCTCCTGTTCCTCTTTCGCACTATTCTCACACCCCATCCCTCCGCACCCCCTTTCCCCTGTCACCATTCTCCCACCTCCCCTTCTGCCAGAGGCTGCTAGAAACCACCTTCTCGCTCAACATTCCTGCAGCACGGGAGTAAGCACACTGTGAAGAATCTTCCTTAGAATATCTCTTTGAAAGCCCTCCTTATAACGCACTCTTTGAATAACCTCTGTTAGAGGGACTCTCTTTTCTGAGACTTGTGAGTTTAGATGAAATAGGTGGTGCTGTGACTTGTGAGTCGTCCCAGGGCTCATCCCTGTTTGTCTCAATGCTCATCCCTTGCCTTGCTTCCCCTGCGCTGCTCCCTGCAGGTATTGCTCTGCTGACGACCGGTGGACCAATGCCGTGGCGTATCTGGATCGGAGAGACGGTGCCGTGACTTGAGACTCGCTCCATTGCTCACCCCTGACTAGAGCGAATGTTCCCCTGCTCACCCCTTCCATCCTCCCCTCCCATCTTGCCCCTGCGGTGGCCCTTCCAGGTATTGCTGTGCTGACGACCGGTGGAGCAATGCCGTGGCGTTTTTGGATCGAAGAGACGGTGCTGGGTGGGAGCTGCTGCAGGTGAGGCGTGGGGTGTATGGGGTGGAGGCAAGGGGTGGAGGCAAGGGGTGGAGGCAAGGGGTGGAGGCAAGGGGTGGAGGCAAGGGGTGGAGGCAAGGGGTGGAGGCAAGGGGTGGAGGCAAGGGGTGGAGGCAAGGGGTGGAGGCAAGGGGTGGAGGCAAGGGGTGGAGGCAAGGGGTGGAGGCAAGGGGTGGAGGCAAGGGGTGGAGGCAAGGGGTGGAGGCAAGGGGTGGAGGCAAGGGGTGGAGGCAAGGGGTGGAGGCAAGGGGTGGAGGCAAGGGGTGGAGGCAAGGGGTGGAGGCAAGGGGTGGAGGCAAGGGGTGGAGGCAAGGGGTGGAGGCAAGGGGTGGAGGCAAGGGGTGGAGGCAAGGGGTGGAGGCAAGGGGTGGAGGCAAGGGGTGGAGGCAAGGGGTGGAGGCAAGGGGTGGAGGCAAGGGGTGGAGGCAAGGGGTGGAGGCAAGGGGTGGAGGCAAGGGGTGGAGGCATGGGGTGGAGGCAAGGGGTGGAGGCAAGGGGTGGAGGCATGGGGTGGAGGCATGGGGTGGAGGCAAGGGGTGTGGCTGTATGAGGTGTGCTGGGTATGGCATGTTGGGCACGGGGTGTGTTGGGCATGGTGGGAAACATGTACCGTGCTTCTTTGATCTCCCTGCATCTCCCCATCCCTGTGCCTCACTCACTGCTCTCCCATGCAAGCCATGCTGAGCCCAGACTATCGCCAGCGGCTGTCAGCAGCCTCTGCTCTGACACTGCTTATTGATCTCCCTGCGACTCCCTGCTGCTCCTGTGCCTCGCTCTGTGCTCTCCCATGCAGGCCATGCTGAACCCGGACTATCGCCAGCGGCCTTCCGCGGGTCCACTCTGCAGCACCGCTTCTTTGATTTCCCTGCATCTCCTTACATCACACAGTCTTTCCCTGCGTCTCCCTGCTCCGCCATCTCGCTCTGTGCTCTCCCATGCAGGCCATGCTGAACCCGGACTATTGCCAGCGGCCTTCCGCAGACTCTGCTCTGCAGCACCGCTTCTTTGACCTTCCGTGACACCAGGCCCCAAAATGTCAGGGTAAAATACCCTGATTGCCCTGACTGGCGGCCGCTTTTTTTAGGGTTACCCTGACCCAGTCAGGCTCCCGGATTTCTTACCCTGACTCATAAAGAGTTTGATTTTTTGTACCCTTATGAAATCCGAGCTATAGATTGTTTCCCCTGACTTTCATCAGTGTTTTAATCCTGTTACACTGATACCGAGTCTTTCGTAGCGAGGATATGGTGGATGTTGCGCAAAATGGCGCCAGCACGTAGTGCACTCCGCTTGTTTCCCAATGCGAACTTTGAACCTACGACCTTTCCTCTCACAGTTTCACCTCTGACCGAGTGAAACACTAAAACTTGCGAAATACTTATTCGTCCTAAATATAGACTCGTACACGGAATCAGAGTACGAAATTTTTTTACCCTGTTTTCATCAGGGTATGAAAGTTTTTACCCTAGGAGTCAGGGTTGGCCCACCCTGGAACTCTGATTTGACAGGGTGGGCCAAAACCAATTTTGGGCCCTGCGTGACACCAAAGGGTTGCCTAGTGTACCTAGTGCATGCTCTTCAAAATGACCATATACAGTCCAGGACACAGCGTAGGAGTGCTGGATCGTGAGCCCCAGAAACATTTAGAGTGGCAAAGCATGCCCAAGAGTATGTAGCGACAATTTAGTGTGAGCATTATTGTGGGTTGGATGTAAGTGTCTGTATAATATTTACGCTGTACACCTTTGCTAGTATAGACAGACGGGGCTTACACAAAGCTGGTGTATCACTTGTTTTGGGCGTGTAATCACGATGCGACAATTTCCACCAATCAGGCATGTGTGGCTGGGAGTCATTCACAGTCTCGTTCTGAATCATGCACATCAACATCCCGGTTCGCTGCCCCAAAATTGGGTTGACTCGAACCAAAGCAAACGGCTTATACTGAACAGGATTAATAAATTCGGGGTTCACTAGCTGCTTGCTGTTTTATGTAGCCCTCATCAGGTAAGTCAGCCCTCGAAAAATTTGTGTGCCCGATGATTCAGCAGCTCCAGAAGATTTTCTTAAAGAGTGGCTGGAAAAAGGGTTCGTTCCGTAAATGGTGACGTTCATACAACAAATGCTCGTATGAATGAATTGCCCCACCACACCAGGGTCACCTCACTGCATGGCAAGGCAAGCCACACAAACTAGCTCACAACAACAACATAACCGTGACGTCAGTTTACTTGTCCATTGCAAACGACTTACGTCGATTTTTGTCCACTTTCATGGCAGGATAGGATTCATCCGCGACCTTATCGTCCTGCACGTACAGTGCATCGTTTTTGTGGGGCCGCAGAGCACGAATTGGCGATTGAACAACACAAGCACCAATGCTGGAGCCTTCGAACACTTCTACTCAGACTCCGCCCATCGAAGGCTGATTTTTGTATAATTTATCTGCTGTGATTGTGAAACAGTTTGGAAAAGTTTTCCGCTGTACAGTTCCTGGGACCGTCGGTTGGTTCGCGACGCAAAGAATCGCAGATCGCAAAATACCTCGTCCATTGATTTGCTGCTGCAACGATACGGATTGCGTTTGACAATCGCCTTGCCAGTTGTACACTGCTGGCTGTTTCTTGAGAGAGTCTGGCTGGCAAAGTGCTGTCAAGGGCTGTTAGTTTCCCTTCTCCTGATCACGTGACGAGGCTCAAGGCTTCTGGGTTGGCATGGTTTTGATAGAATCGGATGCTGTTTGTGTAACAAGCGACGCCGAATGCCAGGCTGTATGCTGTTGCTTCGTCGGCGGGCATCGTAAATTCCACAAGATTGCCAGTTTTTGGAAGCCTGTCATGCCTTTTGCCAGAAAATCAGGCGCAATGCCTCTTTCGTGCTCATTAATTATGTTTTTTATTGACTTTTTTTTTCCGGTGGCGTCCTTCATGCAGCTCGACAAACACGCGTGGTAGAGGAGCGTCATAACAAAATTTCGCGAGCTGATTCTAGATGGGCTTGCTGCATGCGAGCTGAAGGGGGCACTAGTGAGAGTGGATGAGAGACCGCCAGCGGCTCGGGGTACATGGGGAAGGGGAGGCCATTCATGGGGCGAAAGGTGAAGGGCAAAATGGAGGAGAGTTCCCCAGATGGTTCCGCTGGAGCTGAGTGTGTGTCAAACACTATTTTTTGCTGCCGAAATAGCACTGCGTTGTTCACAACCTCGCAGTGCAGTTTCGATTTCCCTGGCCACCCGGCCTTCCTGTTCTCCTTACCTCCCCGGCCAGGGGTAGTAGCCACAGGCGTGGCCCCAGCAACACTCCGCATCTCAATCACCTTGATTTCTTTCTGATCTCCTCACTGAGGCCGTCGTCTGCTTCTAAAAGTACAAACTTTTCTTTTTTTTCGGTCGCGGTTCCAGCCAGTTCCGAAACCATTCGTGCGATACTTTTCAAGTTTTCGCAATCGCGGATGATGAAACGTCATTTACAATCAACAAACTAGGGCTGTCCTTGTACGGACTAACCGATGGCAGGCGTAGAATCCTGGAATTCACGCTCAACTATCCCGACGCCGTATCTTCCGGCGCTAAACACGGAGATTGACTCTCCCGGCCTACTCGGTGGCTTTCTTTCGAGCTTGGACTCTCCTGGCGATACCATCCCCGGCCTTCAAGTAGCTCCCTTTTTGGAAGAGCAGCCTCAGCTGATCAAATCAGGGATCTCTCACTTCCCCTGTTCGACGTTCTTCGGTTCCTCCGCAATTCCTCCCGACGCGTCGGCATTCATGGCCGGCGCAGGGAACGAGATCTCGCAAACGGATCTCGACAACTTGGCTGAATGGATCCCGCGACTTGCCGGCGGTGCCGCCGCCGCCGCTGCCGGACAGCCATCGTCAATTGACGAGATTGCGGCCGAGCTACAGTCGCTCGACGCCAAGCAGTTTCTGCTGCAGCAGCAGATGACAGCGCAGTCCGCGACAGGCGACGGCGGCGGTTCCGCTGGTGGTGAAGAGGCGGACTTATACGCGGCGCTAGTGCAACAACAGCTTGCTGCTGAAATGCCGCACGACGCGACCAACGCCGCATCATCCGCGGCCGCTTTTCACGGTCGAGACCTGGAGGAGTTTAGCGCGCTATCGCGGATGGCGGGTTTGCCAGACAGCACGTTGGGAGGGGGTCTGGATGGAGCCAATCTGATTGAAACGAACGCTGCGCGTTCCGCGGCGACAGAACCGGCGGCGCTCTCTGGGGCATTGGGAATAGTTGCGAACCACCCGGCTGCTGCGCGTAACGACGCGCTGACGATCCGGCCCACGGCTCCACCGCAATTCACTGCGCAATTCTCGCGCGCGGCGAGCCGACTCGCAGCTTGGAACGTCTTCGGAGCGCCGCCGCAGTGGCCTTCCGCCGCGGCCCCTCAGGCTTCCGCTGGAGTTCAGATCGGCGCGAATTGGCTTCAGAACGAGCTGCTGCAGCAGCAGCAGCAGCAGTCGCAGCGCACACGCATTATGGAGCCTGCTACGCTGGGGCCAGCGGCTGCGCTGCCCGTCACTCCAGCGGACGAGCTCGAGGCGTTGTTTCAGCAGATTCCGCCGGAGCTTGCGCCAGAGGAGCGCATTGTGCTGGCTGCGGCGCTCATGGCGGAGATGCAGCGGAGCAACGTGGCGGCTGCAGGCGGTAACAACGGCCATTCGCAGCAACCACAGCAGTCACAGCTGCACGTTTCTGGAGGAGCCGGTAGTAGCATGCGTGTTGCCGAATTTCCGACGCCCCTTTCGGTTCATTCGGTGGAAAATGCAGCTTTTCATAACAATCAGCCCCCTGCATTTGCAGATGAGGCCCATCAGAGGCTCTCTGGCAGAGGACAGCAGCAGAATGCCAGTGGGGCTGGCTTAGGTGCCCTGACTGCTCACAATGGACCCCCCGCATCGCTACGGAGGTTCTCAGAATTTCCTGGTGAATTTCAGGATATCGCGGAATGCATGAGCGGACCCGTGAGCTCGGACGCACTGGGCGTGTCGGAGTCTAGTGCGGAGAGGGCGGCGTCAGCGCGTGTGGGCGGCGGGGGAGGGGCTGGTGGGAGCAGGAGACAAGGCGGGGCGGCTGGTAGCGGAGGAGGGGTTGGTGGTGCAAGCGGTGGGAACCCAGCTTTGAAGGCCATTAGGCCGCGTTCGGTGAAAGAGAGGAGGCGGAGGGAGAAGATAAGTGATTGTTTGAGGAGGCTGAAGACTGCCATTCCTCAGGAGATTCTGGGGGATAGGCAGGACCTTGGATCTATGGTTGAAAAATCTGTTAGTTATATACATAGTCTACAGGCACGGCTTGATAGGCTTCAATCTAGTAGTACAGATAAGGATGGCAAGGATATGGGTCAGTGATTTCTATGAATTCGCTTTCTGTTGATGAAGTTTATTGCAGCACTTGTATACAATGGCTGACTGATCGGTGGAACCTTTCTCCTGGAGAACAATGCATAACGAGGATGCACACTCAAGGGCCCAGCTCGGGCCTCCCCCTTCCTTACCGCCCCTCCCACAAAATTCCCCCCTTCCCCTTCCCCCACCCCACCCACGATCGTCCAGTACGAGCCGTGCGTGATTACGTGGATTCGCGACGCGATTCGCTAGTCCGTGAGTGACCCATTCTCACAAAGCGAGATCGAAAGAAGACAAGATTTGAAATGATTAGTCGAGTTTTGATGGAATCGTATGGCTGTTCGAAACGCCAAGGAAGCATCTATGATCCGATTGTCGTATCTGCCGTTATTGCATGTGCCCCCACCACCATTTCGTGGAATCCAAGTGCCTCCCACCCTGTTCGCAGAAACGGTCGTCTCTCATGCGTTGACGTCAGCGGCTGCAGGCTTCGATTGTGCAACTTTGAACTTCGTTATCAGAACGTAACACTGGAGACAGCCAAAATGCCTCCACCATACTTTGAAGCTTAACAGACATACACAGTTGATAATGCTACTACGCCTATTTTGTAGTACCTTTCCAACAATTAGATGAATGGATTCATCTGTCCAGAAGCCATATTTTTAATAGCATCCGCAAAGGAGGAGAACCGCAGAACCCCTAATAGTTCATTCTTCATTCGATGATTTCTCACCCTTTTCTCCCCATCTGGAAGGCTCATGCTGACATCCTGACTGCGTCGTTCAGTCACCGTTTTGCTATCATCGTCAAGTTCCTGCCCAAAAACATTTTTAGAGACTTCGTTATGAACCCCACTGCCATTGATCATACCACCTGATACCGGTACGTTAGCCTGCTCGTGCCTCCCATTTGCCAACAACCCCAAACTTTCCATGTCAGTACCCGGTTCGAATTCTTCTCTCCCCATCTTGCTGCCAACCATTACGTCCGAACCAGTAACAATGGTGGGATGCGTCGTCTTTTTCTTCTCCTTCTCAACGCCTCTCACCCGCCCGCTGTCCCCCCGCCGGATGATTCCGGGCGGCAGAGTGATTCGCAGAGCTTTTAGTTTCTGCCAGTACAGATCCGATTCTCCCGAGGCGATGAGCTGGCGAGCGAACTGCATGACGTGGCGGCGAGGCGACGGGTCGTCATCGACAATGTTGATGATTGCACTGGGGGAGGGAGACCGGATGGGGAGGGGAAAGGGGGAGTGAAGCAAGGGGATGGAAAGGGCAGGGGGGAGGGAGAGGGAGAGGGAGAGGGAGAGGGAGAGGGAGAGGGAGAGGGAGAGGGAGAGGGAGAGGCGACGGATCGTCATCTCCAATGTTGATGATTGCACTGGCGGAGAGGAGAAGCAGAGTGATGGGGGTGGGGGAGGAGGAAGAGGGAGTGGGGGAGTGCGAAAGGGGGAGGGGGAGTGAGGTTAGGTTAGGGGAAGAAAAAGGGCGGGACGGAAGGGGAGGGGAAGGATTGTCAATTACAATGTTGATGACTGGACTGAAGGAACACGGTGGGGAGTGAGGGGAGAGGGGGAGAGAGTGAGGCTAGGAGGAAAAAAGGGAAGAGAGAGCAGCAGAGGAGTGGTTGGAGAAAGGGAAGTGGATGGGAAGAGTGCGGGAGGGGACGAGTGGGGGCATGAGCAGATGCAACAGTATAAGATTAAACTGGTGCAGAAGCAGTTGCACCCCCACCTCACAAACCCCCACTTCCCCAAGCCCCCAACCTCCAAGGCCCCACCCCCCAAGCCCCCACCCACCTCCCGGCCCCTTCCTCACCTGCTGCCACGGCCGTCCATGCTGGCACCAATCGCAGCGCAGATGTCTGCCACGTGGCACCGCGACGTGAACCGCTTCCTCTGCCTGCGCTCGCGATTGGTGCTGCTCTCATCCCTTTTGCTGCCACTATCACCCTTATGGTTGCTGCTGCCCCGATCGCTGTTGCTACCCCAGTTGCCACTGGGCGCTTCACTGCTGAGGTTGCCCTTTTCACAGCTGCTCTCCCCTCGCCTGCTTCTCGTTGAATCAAGCATTGCAGCTGACACTGATGACTGTGCTTCTCCTGCTCCCATCTCTGCTGCTGCTGCTGTATCCAGAGGTGACTTTTGAGTCGACTCAAAAGCCATCTCTACTGCTGCTGTATCCAGAGCACTGTTGTAAGAGGGGGAGAGGCGGGGATGGCGGAGGGAGGCGGGGGAGAGGCGGGGATGGCGGAGGGAGGGGGAAATAGGGGAGATCAGAGGAGAGGAGTCGTAGGCTTGGACGCAGGCATGGGAACAAATGCGATGAGAGATGCAGACAGGTGCGAAGAGAGGGAGGGAAAAAAATGAAAGGCGAGAAAGAAGACACTGTAGTGAATGAGTCCAATGGAGAGGTAGGCGAGTAAGAAATCGAGAGATGGGAACAAGACAGGGGATTGAAATTGGGTGCCACGGTGATACCTGCGAAAGGGCCCATAAATCCCCCCGAGCCGGAATATGCGGACAGCAACAACAGAGCCCTCGCCCTGGTTCCGCTCCACATGACTCCTGCCCTCCTTGTCCGGCTGGTGTGCATCAGATACCACCTCCCCGAGTTGTGCCTGGAAGGCCAGCCACTCCCTCTCGGCGGCGTAGCGAGCAACGGCCTTCGGGGTGAGCGGGCGCGGAGGGGAGCTGATGTGCGCGTATGGGGGAAGAATGGATGTAGCAGGGGAATGGATGGATCAAGCGAGAAGCAGAGGAGATGCTTACTAGATGAGGGGTTAGTGCGGTGGAGGAAATAACACCACCTGTGTGCATGGTTGATGTTCCTACAGAGAAACACATGAGCGTGAGAGATGATTTGTCGAGGTGAGGCACGTGAAAAAGGTCCTTGCTTTTCTCACTCACTCTCTCACTCGCTCAGTCACTCACTCACTCACTCACTCACTCACTCACTCCTCATCCACCCATTGGCCGTCCCAGTCACCATAGACGCCTGTGGACGACAGATACCCGATCCACCTGAGCCGATGCCTGGCAGATTGCATCAGGTGCTGGCAACAGGAGGAAAGCACCTGAAGAAACACATGCGGAAAAATGGACAAGACAAAGTAACTGAGCAGGAGAAAAGCGATGCAGCAACAGGTGGAACAGCAACAGGTGGAACAGCAAAAGAGTTTAGACGGCACGCAACTTGAAGCCATGTCTACAAAACTTACCACATCAACGTGTTGTGGGGATGAGGGGCGAGGAGAGAGGAGAGGGGGGATGGAGACGAGTACGTGAGTGGCCGAGTGGAGGGCGGAGAGAGCGGCCTGGGGGAGACACACGGTGCTGGTTGGGAGGGGGACAGGGGGGGGGGGGGGGAAGAAGGGTGGGAGGGAGTTGAGATGAATGAGAGAATGGGATGGAGAGGAGTACGTGTGTGGCAGAGTGAATAGCAGAGAGAAGGGAGTGGCAAAGAGTGGGGAGAGGGGTGAATCGACGTGAGTAGGGTAGGGGTGGGGGGTGGAGGATGGTAAGGAGGGGAATAGAGGAGCAAAGGAGGGCAGAGGGTTTTCAAGGAGGGATAAGGAGGTAATAAGGGGGGTGCAGACCTGTCAGTGCCATGGTCCTCCAGCAGGTGTGCTTGTAAGCCCATGTGACACAATCGATGCCAATCCTCCTGGCTCCTGCACGTGCCTGACACGCGCCTGCCATGGGGGGTGGGGGCAGGCAGAGAGAGAGAGAGCAAGTGCAAGGGCTGTGGGGAGTGGGAAAGGGGGGGGAGGGGGAAGTTGAAGCGTTGTCTAGTTGCTCTAGGAGAACAGTCAAGCAAACCTAACGCTAGTAATCTTCTCCCCTTAAGAGACATCCTGGTTCGAGGGGCCAGTTTGTGCAACGGCTGTTGGGGCCGCTGTCAGCCGTTATCTGCTGTCGAACGTTAGTAAGGTCTTTTGAGACGTGTGCAAGAATTTGTGTGGATAGAAGCAGCACAACATACCAGCCTTTAGATAGAAGCACACTCGACAGTGCCACTGCCACGTATCCCAGCCCGAAGCAGAAAAGATGCCTCTCGCCGCCAGGCGCCGCGTCGCCGCCAGGAGAGGCGGCGCAGTCTGCTGAGGCGGCGCCGCCAGCTGAGGCGCGCTGCGGTTCGACCGCCGCCGCGTCGCCGCCGGGCGACGCGCCGCTGCCGGGAGAGGCGCGCTCCCCCGGAAATCTCGAGGCGGCGGGGGAGGTGGAAGCAGAAGCGGCGGCGGGCGGTAATGCGGCGCATTCTGACATTCTGGAGGCAGATGGGGGCGACGCGGGGAAAGGACGTGGCAATCCCGAATCGGAAGGAGAAATTGCAGCGGGCAAGGACGAGGCGGAAACTACTCCGGAGAAAGACCGCAATCCCGAGGCCGAGGCGGAGAAAGTGGGGGAAACTGCTCCCGCTCCCGAGGTCTCGCCTTTCCGACCTCCCTAAGACGAAACATGAGGCGACTGAACGGGCGGGATGATCGCGATAAGCGCGATCACCGGGATAAGCGGGGGCGCTTGTGGAGGCGCCACGCTTGCAAGCAGTGAACTGTTGGTGATGCGCGCTTCTCTCAATCAAGTGCGTGAAGCGCGGTGGGTAATTGAATCCACGCACGATACAGACGACTCGGTACGGATAGTCACACAGCGAGGGATGACTAAGGCGAGGATGAAGGGTAAGTGAAGAGGTGCGCGTCGAATGTAGCGCAAGAGGCGGAGTACCCATGATGGGACGAGAAGCGGAAAAATCGCGGCACATTTCTCCCCCATCACAGTTGCAAATCTGTCACATTTTTCATGAAACAGATCCCCGTTTGTAGCTCCTCCACGAGGAACGTACATTCCATGGGACTTCACTTGTGAGCAGATATAATACACCCTTTCACAATTACATCCCAAAACACGTTTCTATCGGTGGAACCGTCTTCAGCACCATCACACCGTGGCTTAAATAAATCCAATGTTTGATCCTGCAAAAGCGATTCGCATTCACAGTAGGAAAAGCGTGAGCATAAACCAATAATAAGTAATCAGCGATGCCGGTTACAGACTCTCTCTCAGCGCCACATAATGTAACACAATACCAACTCACTACAGCGAACGCACCCAGCCACCCCCACACTAAACCCCGCCCGCACCACTCACCAGACACTCTTGAGAATGGTCAGCATCCACAGCAAAGCGTTGCAGTGCCTCCCTTGCAGCAGCTAGCACTCCGGCAGCATTAAAAAGCTCGGGTGTGAAAGATGGGAAGGCAGATGGTGGGTCATCGGTGGTGGGTGGTTGAGTGGTGGACGGAGGGAGAGGTGGGGAGGTGGGGGCGGAGAGGGAGGCGGCATGGAGGGCGAAGAAGAGTGCGAGCTTGAGAGCGTTGGGGCGGTCGACGCGATTGATTTGGCTAATTGCACACAGCAAGACGACGAGTCACATAAACACACAGAGACACAGCGACGTGTGTGACTGTCATTCACTTCCCCAGCCCCCACCCCCCTTCCCATCCACACACAAAATGTCTCGCGGCACACATGGATGCAGCAGTGCACTACGCACATGCTTTTTCAATCCTTCAGGGACACAATTTACGGACAAGAAGCTGAGATATTAAAGCAAGAAAGCAGCAATCAACACATGCAATGGGCCAATGGCGCACCTGCGGTGGACCACAGCTGCTACCCACCCACCCACCCACCCCCCTGCCACTCAACCCCCTGCCACTCAACCCCCTGCCACTCAACCCCCTGCCACTCACCCCCTCACCACCCCAACCTGCTGCACCTTCAACCGGTAGACAGAGCAGCATTCTGGCCTGCAGCACACACAAGGAACAAAGGCACACCTGCGGAGGTGTTGGAAGCAGACGATCACAGCTGCCACCCACCCCCCTGCCACTCCAACCTGCTGCCCGCCCTCCTCCCCCGCCTTCTCCCCTTCCTTCTCCCCCCTCACCCCTTCTTCCACCAACACCAGCTTCAGGAACCATCTCTCTGCCACGTCAGCATCCACATCCAGACGCCACATCAGCGCCGCCCAACGGGTCCACACTGACCGTGCAGCTTCCAGGAAATGAGGCTGCATATGAGCAGCCATAGAGTGTGGGTTCCCAGAGGAAATGCTCCATTGCTCCTGAAGCCTATTGAAGTTTTCATTCCATTGCTCCAAACACGGTCCTGCCCGCTGCGTTGCCACCTCACTCCACGCCCGCTCCAGCTGGTGCCGTGTGGCGTCCTCGCTGGCGCCGTTGTAGATGGCCACGTCAGCGTGTGCCAGCCTGGCAGATGACGTCATCTGGGTGGTGGATGGTGTGAGTGGAGAGTGAAGGTCAAGAGAAGAGGTTGAGGAAGGGAAAAGGAGAGATTCAGGAACAAAGCTGTTAATAAAGAGGATAAAGGAAGAAGGGAAAGAAAGCGACAGGGGTAAGAAGAGAAGAGGTAAAGGGGAAGAGGGGGAGGATGGCAGACAGAAAGGAAATGCTGTGGCAGGGGGAAAGGAAGCAGAGACGAATCGATGCACACAAGTACACACATCCCCACACACACATCCCAGCACCCATTCCCCCTCCGCACATGCATGAGAACAAGGCTTCAAACACCCATCCACCAGTCTACCTACACCATCCACCAAACCAACCTGCGCAGCAATCCTCTTCCCCGCCTCCTCTTCAGTCACCCCATTCCGTGCCATCAACCGAGCCTTCGCCTCAGCCTCGGGGACAAACACCACCCAGACCTCGTCTACAGTTTGGTCCGAGCCTGCTTCGACCATCATGGCAGCCTCCACTATAAGCACAGCCGCAGGAGGAGCTATAGGGCGAATAGTAAACGAATTTCTACATGTCTCAGAGGCAGATGCCTTTTCAGTGCACTCAGAAAAAGTGGACGCTCCTCCTGTGAACTCAGACGAAGTAGGCGCCTTTTCACAATTGGTCGCCTTCTCAGGCGACTCAAAAGTCACCTCCCATCCGCCTGCACCTGCAGCCTCCCTCTCCTCCTCCACTATCTGTCGCACCATTGGCCACACCACCCCCGTCAGGGCAGCCATTTTTTCCGGGCAGGAAAACACTTGAGCTCCCAGTGCCGCCCGGTCAATCTGCCCATCTGAAAGACGCACCCGAGAAACCAAAAGAAAAAGGTGTTGGGGTGATGAAGCGAAGGAAAGAAAACCAGAGAGATAAGGATTAGAAGGCAAGCACTGAGGCCAATGGGAATAGCAGGGAATGAGTGGAGCAACAAGGAGATCTCCATCTTGCAAAGTCACATACCCACACATACCCACCTGCAGCGCGCACCACAGAGGCCCCAAAGAGCTCCACAATGCGGCGGTACGCAGGTGTGCCGGGCTCATACGCTCGATGGGCGAGCCGGTCACAGTCCACCGCCCCCACCCTCCACTGCCTCCCCTGCCCTGCTCCCCCCTCTTCTGAATGCCGCCCTTGCCCTGCCTCCCTTTCCTCTGAGTGCCACCCCTCCCTGGCTGCTTCCCTGCTTCCTTCTGGCTCAATTGGAACAGCTGCAGAGACAGTGGCAGCAGCAGAGGGAGAAGCAGCAGCAGCAGTAGGAGCAGAGGAGGAGGAGGAGGAGGAGGCGAGGGAGCAGAGCAAGCGAGCAACAGTGGATTTGCCAGAGGCAATTCCTCCTGTGAGCCCCACCAGGTACGGCCCCGCCTGCAGCCGCCCCTTGTGCTGCCACCTCTGCCTCTGCTGCTGCCTCTTCTGCTTGCTGGTGTGGCGAGATGGTGCGAGGAAACAAAGGGAAGGGGGGGGAGGGAATAGGGGAAGAGGAATAGGGGGATGCATAGAAGAGAAGAGTGTGTTGAGAAAAAATCAACGGCAGTCACATGCCAGGCCAGGGGAAGGAAAGCAAGCGCGCAAGAGAACAAGCAAGCAAGGAACAGCGTCTGGGTGGAGTGTGGGAAACACTGAAAGGTTAGAGACGAAAAAACACCGGTGAAACGTGCGGACGACTCGCCTTGGCAGAGGCAGGAAAGTTCCGAGACATTGCTCCCTGAGCAGGGAGGAGCTTAGCTTGCTGATGTCAGCCGCTGTAGAGGTGGTGGCGGGAGCGAGTGGAAGAGCAGCGGTTGATGGCGCTGGTACTGTTGATGCCACCACTACCTGGTGTGTGGATAGGGATACCAACCAACACACAGGGGTCTATTTTTTATGCGCCTCAAAGCAGAGCAGCGGTTGGCGGTGCTGGTACTGTTGATGCCACCACTACCTGGTGTGTGGATAGGGATACCAACCAACACACAGGGGTCTATTTTTTATGCGCCTCAAAGCAGAGCAGCGGTTGGCGGTGCTGGTACTGTTGATGCCACCACTACCTGGTGTGTGGGCGCGGGCATGTGCAGTGCACGCACAAAGGAGGGTCGGTTTTTCTTATGGTACCTCTAAAACAGGGGCTGGCACTGTTGACACGGCCAGCACCACTACCTGGTGTATGGGCATGGCCGTGCACACGGTTGGGTTGAATTTGAGGCGCACCGAAAAACGGATATTACAATCATTGGGCTGGGAAAGCTAGGAGCAGAAATGAAGCCGCACTTACGTGTAACGGAGTAATCTGATTGGCCGCTCTTATCCTGTTGATAGCCGCGGCGCCTCCCACTGTCTCCTCGCTAACCACAATGCAGTCCAGGCTCGGATCCGAACCTCCCCGCTCAGGTACGGGATCTTGGATTGGCGCAAAATCAAGCCGAACCAAGCCGGGAGCCTTGCCCTGTCGCTGTAGCTCCTGCTGCAGAAACTTCTCGGCAGCTTCCTTGCGCTCGTTGTAGGGCTGGATCATCTGAGGGGAACGGGGATGAGGGGAACGGGGATGAGGGGAACGGGGATGAGGGGATGGGGATGAGGGGAACGGGGATGAGGGGAACGGGGATGAGGGGAACGGAGATGAGGGGAACGGAGATGAGGGGAACAGGGATGAGGGGAACGGTATTCGGGAACGGGGATTCGATTCGAAGAACCGGGATTCGATGGGGGAACGGGGATTCGGGGAACGGGGATTCGATTCAGGGGACGGGGATTTGATTCGGGGAACCGGGATTCGATTTGGGGAACGGGGATTCGAGAAACGGGGATTCGGGGAACGGGAATTCGATTTGGGGAACCGGGATTCAATTCGGGGAACTTGGATTCGGGAAACGGGGATTTTGGAAACGGGGATGAGGGGAATGGGTATTCGGGGAATGGGGAAGGGGGTAATGGGGATGAGGGGATGGGAATGAGGAGAAGGGAGATGTGAAAGTGGAGGGAGAGGGAAGAT